CCCGGCGGCCGTCCAGCGGGGGGCGGAGCGAGCCCAAGATGGCGGCTCTCAGGCTGGCGCGCTCCGTGCTGCGGAGGCTTTGAGGTGGTCGCCGGGGGTCGGGGGGCACGATTTCCCCGCCGCGGGGGCCCTGGAGGATGAATAGGGGGCCCTGCTAAGGTTCGGCGGCGGGGGTGGAGAGCAGCGGCAGCCAGCGCTGCGGTGGAGTCCACGGAGCGGGATGTGCGAGAGTTACTCCAGGTCGTTGTTGAGGGTCTCGGTGGCGCAGATCTGCCAGGCGCTGGGCTGGGACTCGGTGCAGCTCAGCGCCTGCCACCTCCTCACGGACGTGCTGCAGCGCTATCTGCAGCAGTTGGGACGGGGCTGCCACCGGTACTCCGAGCTCTGTGAGTACCGGGCTGGGTGCGGGAGGGCTGCCTCCGGACAGTCACGAGTGACACCTCCGGTGTCCCCTTCGCCGTCCCAGCGTCTCCGACGTGTTCGTCCTTCACCCCTACCCCGAGATCGGGCGTCTCCTCGGCCCCCGTCGCCAGTCCGCTTCCACTGCCCCTGGAAACTCTGGTCATCCCTTCTGCCTCTTCCTCGTCCGCCAACTTCCCGCCTCCAGCCCGGAGTCGGGTCCCGGCTCCCGGCCCCACACCCTCTCACGCTGCTCTCCTCCGGGAGGCGCATCGGTCTGCCTCGGGGTCGCGTGCTGTGCTGCTGCCTGTAGAGAGAGCCACCTCCAGAATGCCTTTCAGCCTCTCTCACTTGGGTCCTTTTCCTGCTTTGCCTGCAAACTACTACAACTAGTTGTCACAGGCGCTCCGTCTACCGGCCGCTTCTTACAAGGCTGGCCATTCTTCAGCTTGTAACAGCACAGACTCGTTGACAGCTCTGCTCCGTTAGGGACACTGCCTCTTCTTTCTGTATCTGTTCATTTCGTAGACAATGTTTCTACTTACTCTTTAACTTCGTCAGTTTCACTGAGATTGACTTTCACTTACATCTCAGTTACCCATTGATTCCCTCCTTTATATTTGTTGTCAGTGTAGTTATCAAAGTGAGGTAGAGGGACTACAGGCAATTTACAAGGTTCCCCGGGTAATCTGGGATACAGTGCTTACGGTTTTTAAGCGAATGCCTGGAGATGTCTGTAGCTGATGGCATTTAATAATTTGGAATGTTTCATAGAAGCCACACATCATCTCATAGGTGTGTTGTTTGTGTTTGTGTGTGTGGAAGGGGAACTACCCCTCATATAAATTTCAGGTCGTTATTTTTAAGGCAGTGAACTGGAGACGTGGGCGAAGTGTTTCATAGGATATTTTGTTTTATAAAAGTGATCCCTAGACTGAAAAATTGAGACCCATGCAAACTCTTTATTTCTTAGACCCCAGTTTTCATTCCAGCTTCCATAGTGCTATCAAAATCTGTCCCACCTGCAAATCTGATCATGTCATTCTTAAGAATTTCCGTTGGATACAGGCTGAAAGTCTAAACTCTTAAGTAGCACGCCATTCCTTTCGTGAGCTAGTGTTTTTCTTACCTTCTGCCATTCTGCCATCCTAAATTGCAACCATGCTGAGCTACCAGCTTTTTCTAGAACATTTTAAGCTATCTATTCCTATGTACATGCCGTTTCTTGGAGTGTCCTTCGCCCTCTGGTCCACCAGTAGAACTAATATTTTGAAACTTCACTAACCACTTGCTTTCGGAAACTCATGTCATCTCCTTTCATAAGTCTGTGTATATTTCTGTCGTGTCATTTCACACCTTGGCTTATAATCATTTGTATATTTCTCACCCTTTCATAGTTCTTCCCCAGGAGACAAATTTATTATATTTATATTCTGTAACCTAGTACCATAATATAATAGGCACCCAGGAAATAGTTGTCGAATAAATGAATGAACTAATAACCTACTACCGTGATAGCTATCTAATCACCTCACTTTTTGAGCTTTGAAAGTGTGTATTTTTTGAATGCTTGATTTCACTGATGCTCTTGATCTCAGTTTGGAACTGCCCAGGAACTCTCATCCATTGTTATCTTGCAAGTGCACCACCAGCACGCTGCAATGCTCTCTGGGTTTTTGCTTCTCTCTGCTCCTCTTCATGGTCCTTGGGCCTGTGTGGTAACATATAATCCAGATTGTATATTTGCTTCCAAGTTCCCTAAAAAAGGACAGATGTTCCGAACCTTTACATAATCAGAAGATCCCTGAATACATAGTTCCTTTCCTGCCTTTCACGCAGAACCAGAACATGTGCTGGCACTCCGGGACTCCGAAGTCATCAAGTGATCATTGTTATAAGTTAATGCGCATCCCTTTCCTAATTACTCAGTTTCCGTAGTAGGTTTTCTTGCTTTCAGTGAGAATGCATTATCAGGTATTCCCCACTGGTGACCTTTTTAAAATACTAATACCTTGTATACTTATTAGTTACAGGGTTTTTTAGATTCTTTTTTCTTTATCCTTATTTTATCTTTTCTTTTTCTTTCTTTTTTTTTTTTATGCCTACAGCACTTGTCTTCCTAGGTGGTCTCCCATCTAAGTACTAACCAGGCCCGACCCTGCTTAGCTTCCGAGATCAGACATCGGGCTTTTTCAGGGTGGCATGGCCATAGACCATGCACTGTGCCTCCACTAGGACCTTATGCGAGTAAAGCAGACGTGCTAACCGCTACACTATGGAACCATGTCCTCTTTATCTTTCTTTTAAACTTCAATTCTGTAACCTCAGATGACTAATATGCAGTCTTATATTCTGTTCCCTTAAATCCTTTTTGTCTTTTTGACAAACATTTATTGAGTACCACTTATGAACTGAGCGCATGCTAAGTGCTGGAGACATAAAATCATTTATACACAATCCTTGCCCATAAGGTGTGTACATGGGTGTCAGAACATCAAGAAAAAACAAACTGATGGTATTTTTTTTTTAAAACTCTCAAGTTAAAGCAAGCATCAGAAGTTACTATTAATTCAACAAGTAACACGATTTTAAATTTCCCTAAGGTAACGATTTGTTGAAACATTCGGGGCTCATGTTTCTGTATTACGTATAAAATACGAGGGCGTGAGCTGAAAGCAGGTGCTTAATCTTTCAGAAGGACTCTCCAGGACTGGTGCTATAACTTAGTAATTGCATGGTTTAGGCAGTAAATGCAAAAGGAAGGAGAGGTGGTTGTGGGCTGTGGATCTGGGGCATGATTACTTCACAGAAAAGTTGAGATTTGAGTTGAGCCATGAAGTATGGTTGTATAAAGGCAGAGAGCATGCCCTGTTAGAGAAAAGCATAAACTAAGAGATCCAAGTAGAATCGACATGTTCAAAGTACCAGCGAGGCGGACAGCCTGCCATATGTAGCCAGTTCATCTGGAGTGTTTTAGAGGAAAAGGTTAAACAGTGAACGAGGCTAGGGAGGGACTTAACAGACAGAGAAATTAAGATGTGGTAGGAAAAACTAAAGGACGCAACTGTCTAATGAAAGTGGGATTTTAAGAAAATCGTGCTGTTGGTGAAGTGCAAGGGAGACTCAAGTGTGAAGAACTTGAAACTGCACTGAGATAGTGTCAGTAGGAAAAGGAAGAAAAAATTCTGAAATCCAGAGCCAGAAAGTCGGGGCGGGGGCGGAAAGGACCAGGTTTTAGGTTGAAATTGCGAAGCCTAGGAAGGAATTCAAGATGATTACATTTTTTAGACTGAGAGAATAACAGTGCTTTTAATAAGAATAGAAGAGTTGAAATGCATATCTGCATCATTAAGAGGAAGAATGAATATTAATTTTATTCTTTTTTATACATCATAGAAGGAACCCATACTTGTAGAAAACCTCAAAGACAGGAAGTGTTTGAACTTAGAAGTGAAGTCTCCTGCTTCAACTTTTCTCTTCCCTTGTACTACAGCTTTCAGCCCCTTAAATTGTTCACGGGTGGATATAGAATCCTTCCAGAGCTTTCCTGTGTGCACCTGAGCAAACGTGTCCGATTTTTACAATCTTTGGATTATTCTTTTTTACTTTACAGCATGATTTAATTTCAGACATACTGAGTTTGAAGTGATCAAAGGAGATTTCAGTAGAAATATCCTTTAGGCTATAAGAAATTGGGAACCAGAATTTTCATAGAAGTTTTAAAAGATGTAGAAACCTTAAGTTCTGCTAAGGGTAGGCATAGGAGAAACTTCCTTTTCTAAAGAGAATACTACTACATCTAACTTTGAACAGTTGTGTATATATATCTGTATAACTTTTATGTGGTATCTTAATTACATTTAAGAATATATACGTAAATTACCTTGATGATCTATGTTCTTTCTGTAAATTTCCTTGGATTTAAAAAATTGATTCGGGGGTATAATTCACTTAACAAATATTTGTCGCATGCCAACTATTTGCCAGTCACTGTCTTAGGTTCCAGAGATGCATCATTAAACAGTAGATAAAATGTAATTACCGCTTACTTAGTCAGCACAGCATTCTAGTTATTTGATAAAAAGTAATAATGGCAACATTTATTGCTCATTTACTTTGTGTCAGCCATTGTTCCAGATACTTTGACCATCCCTAAACTGCTTTTGATGTTTGTTCTTTACCAGCTGATTGTTAGTATCCACTGTGCGTGGTGTTCTGGTTGGTCGTCAGATCCCATTTAAAATGGACTTTAGGAATCAGTTTTCTAATGTTGAAATAATATGCTCTATTTAAAATCTATTAAGTTATTTCCCATAACTAGGTCTTGGATATGTAATATACTTGATTCTGAGCTACATATTTGCTCAATACTTTTTTCTTAATATATATATTTTTTTAAATCCATGGAATTTCCTTAAACTAATTTGCTTTGCTTTTGACTTTGTTCCAGATGGCCGAACAGACCCAATTTTGGATGACGTTGGTGAAGCTTTCCAGCTTATGGGGGTTAGCCTTCACGAACTAGAAGACTATATTCACAATATTGAGCCTGTCACGTTCCCACATCAGATCCCTTCATTTCCTGTTAGCAAGAACAACGTACTCCAGTTTCCTCAGCCTGGAAGTAAAGATGCAGAGGAAAGAAAAGAATACATTCCTGATTACATGCCACCCATCGTGTCTTCTCAAGAAGGTTTGCGATCGTTCGTTTGTTTCTTACTCGTGTGTACTCACCTAACTCGTTTTCCTAACTGAATTATATAAAATGCTGTGCTACCATAGAAATTCTAGAAATTCAGCCAGAATATTTTAATGTCATGTACAGATTATTCTAACCTTTAAGTCAACACACTTGCAGCTGGCATCACCAGACAGCGTGGCATAACCGGGGTTCTGCCTAAGGCACTTAGCGCCTTTGTGAATTTTAAGAAGGGGAGACGAGAATGTGACACAGAGAAGCCTTTCGGGAGACATACTGTATATGAATGGCGTGTCTGAGTGAATGAGAAAACCCTGAAACAGAAAAAGTGGGGGGGCTCTTTTCTTCCCCCTTATTTGTGTGAGTTGGACGATACTGGAAACAGTGAGTGAACATTCACTAATATTACGCAGATTTCTCTCCGCTTTTTCGCCAAAAGTAGAAATGTTTATTGTTTGGTTATAGAGAATCTTTGATTATAAAATAATAATAGTAGTCACTGCAGAGTTCTTTTTTTTCCTGCGTGATTTCACATGTTGATCGTTCAGGTTCACTAAGATTCTAAAGAGATAAATAATTTGTGGTCTCTAATACAGGTACAAAATGATTTTTCTTGTAAAAACTAGAAATGTTGCAATTCATTTCATTTTTTAATTCTAGAACCATAGATGTACTTCAGAACAATGCAAACAATGGCAGAAAGAACTTTTATGGGTTTTTTTTTAATTGTGGCAAAGTATACATAACCATAGATGTACTTCAGAACAATGCAAACAATGGCAGAAAGAACTTTTATGGGTTTTTTTTTATTGTGGCAAAGTATACTTAACATAAAATTGACCATTTTAACTAGCTTTAGATGTACCCCTCGGTGGCATTACTCACACTGTCACGTTGCCATCGCCACCCTTCTCCGGAACTTTTTCCTCTTCTCCAGCTCTGTAACCATTACACAGCATCTCCCTGTTCCCCCTCCCCCCAGCCCTTAGTAACTGCCGAAAGTCTGTCTCCTCCTCACCTTCGGGTTTATTTGTATTCGTAGCCTTTATTATCCTTGAGGAAATCTCACAGTTTCTAACCTCCCCCCCACATAAAGTCATTCCCTTTAAACCTCTCATTTTCTAACGTCAGCGTTTGTGACCTTAGAAACTCGTATTTGTTATGACTTCTCTAAACATGTATTTATTTACTTTAAAAACATAACAGATGCATTTCAGTATCAACATCATTCAAGACAGGTTTCCTGGGAAGAGTCCTGATTGACGGGAACTGCATTTTCTCTTAACAACAGGCCACGCAGGCCTGGAATTCCCCGGTTTGCTGGTGTCGATACATACAATTTACTGAGCTTCCTAGATAGCCTCATGGAAGTCGTGCCGCGTATTACTCCATGATACGTCCTCTCATACTTGAAGAATAATCTGTGTGGCTCTGAAATTTTTAGCCGAAAGGCACTTAGAAGTACACACAATTTGGAATTGTGCTAAGAAAACCCGAGTGGTATCCACAGCTGGGAGAAAACCTAAGGTTTCACGTAGGGGAACCCTGAAGGCCAGGCGCTGCTGAGTGAATGACGGCGCCTCGGTGGCTCTCGGAGTGATAGGCGACCTGAGTTTTATATCAGTGAATTGGGCAGTGGCGAAGTGCACCAGCCCGGACTCGTGCACATCATCGGGTGGCATGAGATTGAGGCAGGTACCACTGTCTTCTCCGTTTAAAAAACTTCAGCCCGTTTTCTCTCTGCCCTCTGGAACTTTCTAAATCTGTTTTGTGGTTTGCATATCTTTCTGTCTCTTAGTATACCTCCTATGTAACAGTTAAACTCTTTGATCTTTTGTTCTGACCTGTTTAATAATTTGGACTCAGATAGATATTAGATTAATCTTTTTAAAAATAAGTTTAGATTTTTCTGGGTTAATCTTAATCCTTGACTTGTGCATAGGCTTATCTTGGCCCCATGAATAACCTGCATCGATTCATTTAGAGAGTTATTTAATTAGTTTTTACAAATAAGCTCTAACGAGCCACCGCTCAAAGCCAAGGCTAGGACTTTGATCTCCAGTTAACCAAGTCCTTCTTGTTTTATTTTCATAGCGTGCAGATAATACACAGTAAAATTCTCTCAAAGTGATATGGTTATCATGTTTAAATACTCCCAAGGAAATGTAACTAAGATGTCAGATTTATACTGGGTAGTAAAGGATATGAAACGCACGTTAGTGATTTTAGATACTGACTTCTGTCTGAAATTACTGCAGTACATTTTTGAGTTTCTCTTCTGGAATATTTGAAGCAAAGAAGATCTTATTTCATTTGAATTTTTATGCAATATAAATTATAAACATATAACAGGAAAATAACGTAAGCCCGAACACTCTCTTCTTTTTTTTTTAGCTAACACTTATATATCCTTTAAGGAATAGAAATTTGCTGATTCATAGGCAGTGCGTATGATTCATAAGGACACATTAAATGATAGGCAGCCTAATAGGATGTTTATCAAAACCTTTTCTCCCTGTTCAGGGAAAAGGACATAAAATGCAGTCCTGTGGTCACCGTTTTTTAATATAGCCACCCAAGTCAACGTAATAACTCGTTATAGTCTAGCATCTCTTTGCCCATGGCTCAGCGTGTTGGAAAGGTCAGGGTTTTCTGGTCAGTGGAGCGAAGTGTAGTATAGACAGAATGGCCTTAATAACAACACCTGTTCACCAAGTTCTTCCCTTTCCTTCACTTTCCTTAAGAGCCACATGCGACATGCCTGACTTTGGTCGTAAAATATTGGCAAAGGGCTGTCATGGGCCTACCATCTTATCGATTCCTCAACTTGGTTCGTGTGAGAAAAGCATTCGAGTGTCTGTGCGAGGGTGAGCGTGGGAACGGAAGGGCGGACGGGCCGAGGGCCGTGGCGGGAAGAGCTTAACCCCACGGAGCCGCTCAGGTGGGTCGCAGCCAGTTACCGAGTGACGGTCTTACCAAGTTCCTTTACCTTTCTGAACCTCGTAGTCGTCATCTGTAAAATAGGTATAATAATAAATAAAAATAATTGTTAAAAGAAGAAGAAAAGGCTTATAGATCCAGAGAACAGATTAGTGGTTGCCGGAGGTGGGGGTGGATGAAATGAGTGAGGGCGTCCAAAGATGGAAACTTCTAGCTCTAAAAGATGTCCTGGGATGTGTGGACAGCAGGGCGACTACAGCTAACAGTACTGTATTGTGTATTTGAAAATTGTTGCGAGTAGGTCTTAAAAGTTCTCATCACAAGAAAAAAAACTTTTGTAACTATGGTGAAAGGTGTCCACTGGACTTAGTGGGGTGATCATTTTGCAATACGTTACGTCCGTTATACCACAACAAAAATAATAATAATAATAATATCTACCACAGGGGCGAAAGTGAGGATTCAGTGCACTGTAAGACGTTTATATAAAACAGGACAGCAATGAATGTTAGTTCTCTTTCTGTTCTGCCTCCCTCGTTTTTAAGGAATTTACTTTTGGATTGAAATACAATGTACATTCATGAAGTAACTACAATAAGAATAATCGAATTTGAATACAGTGTACGTTTGTGAAGTAACTGTACAATCGGAGTAATTAGTTTTTCTGAACATCGCGATTACGAGACAACGTCAGTGATACGCTCGGGGGCCAAGGGAATGCCAGCCCCGTGGCTGGCCGGGCGGGTTCTAGACGGAGCAGCTGTTTGAGTGCGAAGGTGCCGGAGGAGATGGCCGAGGAGGAATTCTTGCCCACTGTATCCTGTTCCCGTTCCCCGAGAATAACCGTGTTCAACAGGTGCGACTCTTTCTAGAGCTTTTAATGGCCTGTGTCCCTAAGGAGACCAAGGTGCATGTCTGCCTCGGCACCTCCCATGTGCTTCCCAACCTGCGATCTGGCTTCTGACCCCTCTTCCTGCACAGTTCCAAGATCACCAATCACTACCTAATTGGCTGAGCTAAAGGAAGTTTTTATCCTTATACATCCTCTTTTTTGGCAGACATAGTTTAGTGAATTATTAGAAAGCAAATTAAATACCTTTTCACCACCTCCTAGTTTAAGACATAAAACTTTACCAACTATCCCAGAAGACCCTGCGTGTGCCCAACGCCCTCACAGTGCCCTCCCTCCTCCCTCCAAAAATAATCACTGTCCTAACTTTATAGGGATTATTTCCTTGCTTTGTAGTTTTAGCAGCCAACTGTGTATCCATGACACTTTAGCATGTCTTTATTTTACATATCTTTAGATCTGTTTCGATCTACAGCTCCCCACTCCTCGACCCCTTCCCCCTGCCAGGTCCCTTTTTCTCCCAGTGTATCTCTTGAAGGATCTAGGTGGCTCGATGTACAGGGTCGCCACAGCCTGGATTTGGCTGGTGGGCGCTCAATACAGTTCAGCGTGTTTCCTGCACGTTGGCAGCGAGGACCTGAGGCTGGACTGGACTTTCGCAGGAT